CACATGGAGATGCCCTACACATACACGATCCTGTGGCCTTATAGTTTCTTCCTTACTTTATAATGTTGTCTTAGTTTCCTGTGGCTGTCATAACAAAGTACCACAAACTAGCTGGCTTAAAATAATAGAAATTCATTCTCTCACAGTTCTGGAGGCTAGATGTCTGAGATGAAGGTGTTGGTGGGGCAATGGTCCCTCTGAAGGTTCTAGGGAAGAATCCTTCTCTTCAAGCCCTTGGTGGTTGCTGGCAATCTTTGGTTTTCCTTGCCTTGTAGATGCACCATCTCTGCCCCGTCTTCATATATCTTCCCCTGTGTGTATCTCTATTTTCTCTTCCTTTTTTTTTTTTTTCTGGCCGCGCACCATGCGGCTTTCGGGATCTTAGTTCCCCGACGAGGGACTGAACCCACGCCCTCAGCAGTGAAAGCACAGAGTCCTAACCACTGGACCACCAGGGAATTCCATATTTTCTCTTCTTTTAAGGATACCAGTCATTGGGTTAGGGCCCACCATATGCATCTAATGTGACCTCATCTTAACTCATCATATCTGCAAAGGCCCTATTTCTAAATAAGGTCACAGTCACAGCTGCCAGATGTGGCACCAGGAAAGCCCATGGCATTAACATTTTAAAGGTGAGTATAGGCCAGTTATTTTGTAGAATATCCCTCAGTTTGGGTTTGCCCATAGAGTTAAGAGCTTCTGGTAGCCATATTGCAGAAGTCGTGTCCTTCCCAGGGCATCACATGCAGAGGCACTCGGTCTCGGGGTCCTATCCCTGAGTACAGTAACTTTGATCACAATGATGGTATCTGCCAACTTTCTCCACTGTAAAGTTATTATTTTTTCCATTGTAGTTGATAAGTATCTTTTGTAGAGCTATTTCAAGACCACGTTGATATCAAACCATCAAATTTTCATCCATTAAGGTTTATCCTCCATTGATCATTCTTGCTTGAAAAAATTTAATAGTTGTTATGGTTCCTGCCAAATGATCTCTCTTCTTTTCCCAGCATTCCTTTTTCTCTTTTTAGTTTGTTTTCTTCTGTAATGATGAGCTTTACCCTTTTTACTCACGGACTTTGGTTTTAACCTTTGTAGAGTCCTCACTCTGTTGCCAGCTCTGTGATGCATTAAAAAAAAGTGTTTTATGGAAAGCATGTACAACATTTTAGTTGTTTTTATTGGCCTATCTTATCTGCTATACTATTGGCAACAGATATCACTCTTCACCTCCCACTCTTTCTTCAGACAATTCTTAAGTTTCCTAACCCTCCCCTGAAGCTGCTATTGACAAATAACCAGGTACTTCCCCCTCCATCTTTCCAGGCCCACAGGTTATCTGTCTTTATCTTTCTTTACCTCTCAGCATCATTAGCTGCAGCTGATGACTGCAGCCTTCTTCAAGCACTCTCTTCCCTTGGCTTCTCAGACACCACCCTCCTCTGTTCTGTTTTACTGGCCTTCATGGTCTCTTTGGTTGGTTCCTCTCCTGTCTCTCATCTCTAAACTCAGCAGCTCCCAAGAGCTTAATCCTGGACCCTCTTGTCTTCTCTATAAACACTCTCTCCTTCATCTCATCCTCATTAGATGATCTCATCTAATTAGACTTCATGTAATCGTATGTATTGAAATACAATTCAGGGACTTCCCTTGTGGTGCAGTGGTTAAGAATCTGCCTGCCAATGCAGGGGACACAGTTTCGAGCCCTGGTCCGGGAAGATCCCACATGCCACGGAGCAACTAAGCCCGTGCGTCACAACTACTGAGGCTGCACTCTAGAGCCCACGAGCCACAACTACTGAACCCATGTGCCACAACTACTGCAGCTGCGCGCCTAGAGCCTGTGCTCTGCAACAAAGAGAAGCCACTGCAATAAGAAGCCCATGCACCGCAACAAAGAGTAGCCCCTGCTCGCTGCAAATAGAGAAAGCCCATGCACAGCAACGAAGACCCAACACAGTCAAAAAAAATTAATAAAAAAAAAAGAAATATAGTTTATAGGGGGGAGGGATACATTGGGAGATTGGGGGATTTATATATACACTACTATATATAAAATAGATAACTAATAGGAACCTACTGTACAGCACAGGGAAGTCTACTCAATACTCTGTAATGACATATATGGGAATCGAATCTAAAAGAGTGGATATATGTATATGTATAACTGAGTCACTTTGCTGTACACCTGAAACTAACACAACATTGTAAATCAACTATGCTCCAATAAAAAGAAAAAAAAGAAATACAATGTATAATCTGATGAATTCTAAAATTGTATTGCAGCCCAGATCTCTCCTTGAATTCCAACTGCTTCTGCAGTATGTCCAAGTGTATTTCTAAAAGATATTTCAAAATTGACATGACTATAATGGAACTCTTAATTTTCTAACCAGGTCTCTCCTCAGTTAAGCCATCCACATTTACTAGGTCACTCGAGTCTCAACTTTATGCATCGGTCTTGATCACTCTCTTGTCATCACTAGAAATGCCAACTCTCACCCATTCTCTTATTCATTTGCAAGTTCTTTGGCTTTACCTCAAAAATATATTTGGTATCCATACATTTCCCCCATTTACACTTCTCCTGTTTTAGTCAAGATCACCATCATTTCTTGCTTAGACCATATTGCAGCGGACACTTACTATCCTCCTTGTCTCCCGTTTCTCATCCCCTCAGCCAACATGATAAGCTTCCTAGGGCAGCCTGAGTTATCTTTAAAAACGAAACAAAACAAATATCATACCTTAAAACCTCTACTTTAAGTTGTACTTAAAATACAATAACAACTCCCATACTCTAGCCCTCAAAGCAATATATGATCTGACCCTTGCCTGTTTCCCCAAGTTTTCTTGGACCACTGTATTTCTTGCCCTGTGTCCTAGCAACTCAGGCTTTCTTAGGTTTTTCAGTGTGTTAGAGTGAAAGCTCTCCATAAAGGCAGGGATTTTTATGTGTTGTGTTTTTCCTTTTGTCTATAATGTTAATTGACCAATCTCAAAGCACCTAGGACAGTGCCTGGCGTATCATAAGCATTCAATGAATATTTATTCTATGGAAGAATGAATGAATAGGTGCATGCTTTCCCCCCCCCCTCCTGCCTTTACATCTGCTGGTCTCAGACTGGAATGTTCTCCAAGATCTTAGCACGGTGGGCTTTTTTCATCAATCAAGTCTCAGCTCAAACGATAGCATCTCAGAAAGGATTTCTTTGACACCTTTATTTAAATTGCCAGCATTCTCCTCCCCTTTGCATTTTTCTGCTTTATTTTCTTCATAGCACTTATCATTACCTGAAATCATCTCATTTATTTATCAATTTTCTTCTGTTGCCTCCACTAGAACTTAAGCTCCATGAGAGCAGGGGCTTTTTAAATTTTGGTTCCCCATTCCATCCTCATTGTTTAGAACAGTGGCTGGTAGACAGTACATATTCAGTACTTGTATACTGAAGGGAGAGAATTCTACTGTGTGCAAATTTAATAATTAACTGAAACATTTATATAAAAGGCAGATTACTGAGGCTCATTCCAAACCTTCTGAATAACAAAATCTCTGAGGTGGTGTCTACCTGTAACATTTATGCACTCTAAAGTTTTAGGTCTAGGGAATTCCCTGGCGGTCCAGTGGTTAGGACTCTGTGCTTTCAGCCCTTCCACTGCAGGGGACACACGGGTTCAGCCCCTGGTGGGGGAACTAAGATCCTGCATAGCTGCGTGGCCAGTAAAGTTTTAGACAATTTCTCCAAGTCCGTGAGGCCAACTTGGGCCCTCCAGTCCAGATAGCCCCATGCCTCATGACAATTTCCCCTTTTGTGTTCCTTGCGGTCATTTCTGGTCAGACTTCAGTTGTGATGATCCCAATCCTTCAGAGAGGATGTAATAATGTTAAATCTCAAAACGGGGGAAATTCTCTCTAGGGGCCGTGGACCTGTCCACTTCTGGCATTGTTTGTCTACTCACAGCACCAAAAGAGAACATTCCAGTGACTCTCCTAACCAATATCATCTTTCCTAAGGCAACTGACTTTCATGTGTCTTTATATCCAGCTAAGAGTTAATAGCATCTCTCACTATAAATGTTAAGGTCTGCCTCATCAGACCCCAAATGTGCTTTCTTTTCAATTAAATTCAGCAAGTGTTTACTGACAGCCTGCACAGGAGTCTGTGGAGGAACAAGACATGGATTAGTCATCAAGTTGCTTATAAGGTACTCAACAGTCCTGAAATTCTAAAAACAATGTTTTCCCCAAATTTCCCAGATTTTGTTTCCAGTTTTAAAAATAAACAGTAAATAGGATATTGTTGAATGAATTTTACATCCTCTGCTCGCCCACCGCCCCGTGTTTTCTATTCTTAGGTCTTTTGCTTAGTGGTACTTTCTTGGTTAGCCAATAGTTCAGCAATTTTGTATATTTTATCGTCATTGATACTTTTATCCGTTTAAGATCTAGTGTGCTAAGTATTTTACACGTAAATCCCACTTTATCTTCCAAATAACGTAGCAAGTTAGATGTCATGGACAGGATTACGGCTCCCTGAGGGTCCAAAGGCTCAAGGTCTCTTCAAGATCTAGTTGCCATTCGTATTAGGGGCGGGGAACTACAGGTGGCATCTTGCTGCAAAGCCCGAGCTCATCTCTCTGCACTGGGCTGCTCTGCGAAGGCAATTTTAAGGGATGGTACGATGTGGAAGCCTGAGGTTAAGAAAAGAGTGAGTTAAGCCCTTGGTTAACCAGGGTTGAAAAACATCTTCACGTCTGTGAAAATCACTTCCTTTCAGCATGGTAAAGGGGAAAGGAGAGACGCAGCGCCGCACTCCGGGCTTCTGCCGGGCTGAGGTCAGACGCCAGGGCCGGCTCCGAGGCGCAGGGCTTCCGCGCGTGGCGTGGCCTCGGCTGGGCGCTCCGCAAGCCGGCCCGCTGCCGGGGCCCGAGCCGCCTCCAAGCCCGCGCGCCCTCGGCCCGCCGCGTCCTGGGGAGCAGTTCTCAGGACGCGGGCCCTCGGGGGGCGTGCAGCACCCGACGAGCAGCTCCTCCTCCCAACCTCGGGCACCGAGGCTGGAAGGCTCACGACCTGGGCCGCCGCCGCCGGTCCCTCCGAGCGGTCTTGACCCTGAAACCGAAGAGTCGGCTTCTCTGATTGGCTTAGAGCACAAACGCAGGCGAGCGGTGCCTGAGACCCGCTCTTTGATTGGACTTGAAACGAACAGCAGAGCACGAAATAAAGAGGCCTTCCGTCATTGGGCCACTGTGTAAATCTCCTTTTAGCTTCTCCGCTGACTGAATAAGCGTCTCAGGATCTTCGTCATGAGTCTTAAATCTGGGCCTGTCAGTTCGCCCCAGCGTTACTCCTCTTTAGGCGAGGCATGGAGTTTACAGAGTTCAACCAATCACATAACGCCGAGATCAGGTTGCCAGGCAGGTTATGCTAATGAGGCCCCGCCTTTTATGCAGCTCCCACTCTGCGGCGGGAAGAACCACCTGGAGGTGGCGGGGGGGGTTTGATTTCCATCACCCCTAGGGAGAGAGGATCGGGGACCCGCTGATCTTCCAGCTCCCCTCACCCAACATCGTGTAAGTACCTAAAGGATTAAGGGAACCGGATAAGCCAGCGTCCAGAGTACCCCATCGACTGGGAGGGTGTTTCGTCTTTGCTTAGTCCCACCCAAAATGGCGCCAAGCTCTTTCCGCGTCTCAGAGCCCGGCCGGGGCCAACCGACCGCGGACCCGGGTGGGGGGGAGGACTTGATGGTGGTGGTGGGGGAGAAATCCCGGCGGCACCGCCCGATGGTACAGTCCAGTCGGGGCTGGGACGAGGCACCTCACTCGGGGTGGGGGGTCAAACCATCTGCACCTTCCAAGGGGAAAGGGGCAAAATCCCTGAAGGAGCCCCTCCTGGTGCTGCGTTCAGCCATGGCTCCGGCGCCTCTTCGCCCTGCCTTCCCTGCGCGCAGCCTCCCCCCTGCGACCCCCGAGCGGCTCGCACGCTCCGCCGGCCGCGCGCACCTCTCCTCCCCTGCCCGCGTTGGTTGGGCCGGGACGGCAGTTGGGCGCCCTGCGCGCTCCTGCGGCGGCTGTTGGGCGGGCGCTCGGGGTGCGGCGGGCCGTGTTGGCCGGCGGGCGCGGGGGCGGCGGCTGGGCCCGGAGCTCGGGGACGGCGGGCTCCGTGGACTAGGCGCCCTGCTTTGTTTTGGGAGGCCGCGCCACCGTCCTGCCATTGATTGCTGGTTCCCTGTCCCTTACGCACAAGTTGGCGTCCCGGGACCCGGCGAGGCCCCGCTCGGAGGGCGTGGGGGTGGCCCGTTTGGGTCAGTCGTGGTGCATGGTGTCCTCCGTGGGCAGGGCGCAGGCCGAGGTCCACTTGCGCTCTGGGTCGAGTGCAGAGGCGCGAGCCCGAGGCCTTCGGGGAGCGGGTTGGTGGTGCACGGTTGCCAGCCGAGGGTCAGCTTTCCTTGAGCACTTTAGCCCGTGACCACGTATTAGGTCCTCCACTAAGTAAAGTGTACGCATCGCTTTGGAATAGTGCGTGCGTACGTGCTTAGCCTTGCTTGGCGGATTGGTTGGGTTTCGATCCATTTTCAATCTATGTGTAGGTCTAAGCACAAAGCGGGCTGGTTTGGGGTCTGTAGTCGAGGTTCGGCGTGTGAGGAGTCCCGCCCAGCGCGGCCCTGTGCCATCTGCGCCGAAGCCCGTTCAAATCTTGCCTGGCTAATCGTCCCCAAAAGTTCTTTAAACTCAAAAGCACTTAACGTTCATTAAAAACAAAATCACTCGTGACGCTCTGCGGCCTCTGCCTCAGACCCGCTCCTTTGTTTCTCTTTCCACCTTTTGCTGGAAGCTCTTTGAGGGCAGGAAGGTACATTGCGTGTTTTTGGTATCCTTCCATCCACTCCACCCCCCAGCACCGCAGCAGCTTGAGGAACCGTACTTATATGATGCTCTAGAATTGAAAAAGCAAAATTTAAAAAAAAAAAGAAAAATTGGTGGGCGCAAAGCCATGCTTCAAGCAGTGTTGATGCAATCTGATATGTTTACAAAGTGACTTCTGGGTTTACTTTTGCGGTACGCGGGCCTCTCACTGTTGTGGCCTCTCCCGTTGCGGAGCACAGGCTCTGGACGCGCAGGCCCATCGGCCATGGCTCACCGGCCCAGCCGCTCCGCTGCATGTGGGAATCTTCCCGCACCGGGGCACGAACCTGTGTCCCCTGCATCGGCAGGTGGACTCTCAACCACTGCGCCACCAGGGAAGCCCCCTGCGTTTACTTTTTAAATGAAGTGAAATCGACAAAGTGAACCATTTTAAAGAGAACAATTTAGTGATAGATGCGTATTTAAAAATTTTGGAGCGAGACTTTTTTCCCACCTGTGGCTCTTCGTCACTTTATTCTTTGAGCACCCACTCTTGGCTCTGCTCTTTTGTTTTGCGAGGGCGCTAAACCGCTGTCTTTTTCTAAATAAGCCATTTTTAGTTTTCTAGTGTTTTGCGGCGTGCTCCACCACGCGTTAGTGTACTGTATATGTGAATATAATACTGTATAGTGTACTGTATATGTGAATATAATCGAGTATGTATTATAGATAAGGCAAAGCCCACGTCTTCAAGGGCCCTCAGTGCTTTTTAATAAGAGTTTATCATGGTATAAGGGATAGTGTATCAATCCAGTGTAATCCTAAATTGGTTGGCACTGCCTCAATTGCCACTTGTCTGAATTTATTTTTTTCTTCTAGTTTTAACAGTAGTACATGATCATTGTAGAAGACATAGAAAATATAGAACAGTATAAAAAGTAAAAATTAGCTGAAGTACAATTACCAGAGATAATTTCTACTGATATTTTGGTATGCTTCAAATCTTTTTTGTGTGTGCATATAAACATTTTTACAAACTTGGCGCATGATATGTGGTTTTCACATCTAGGTTTTTTGTTTTTTTGTTTTTTTAATGTAAATAGGTACCTAATGACGTCACTGATGATTTTCCATTTTCAGTAGTTTTCCCCATTACTTGAAGGGGGCATCATGAAATCCTCTGAACTAAAGGAATTATGAAATTTGATTCATTTTGTTTTTCACAAGCAGAATTTATTGATTACTGTTTAAATTTATCATAGGTAACCTAATGGGATAGGTTTCTGAGTAACAAGCAGAACTGTTCCAAGAGTTGAGAAATACTGAACTGTAATTTTGGTTTCCTTAATAATTTTAAGCACTGGTGAACACATGGTAACTGCATAATTTCGTTTGGTGCAAATGATAAACTGTTAAACACCCTGTCATTGCAATGTTGGAATTGTTTAGCCAGAGTTTGTTTTAAAATAGAATGCTGATGTACTTTGACCTATTGCCACTAAAATACACAGTCTTCCCCCACCCACCTCTGTCCCAGAGAGTGTAGACACACCCTGCCCAGCCTTTTGTGTGGTTTTCACAAGCAGAATTTATTGGTTAAACAATAAATGTATTGTTTAACTTTATCATAGGTGCTTTAATAGATTAGCAAATGAGCATTTGGTCTCGTGTCTAGAAGGGGCCAGCGAGTTAAGAAAAAGGAAGTGTTTTACTATAACCAAATCTTTGCAGAATGGTCCCACTGGATTCTCCAGGGGTACTGGGTAGGGGCAGGAAGGTGAGGGGGGAGCTTTTTCTGACTTTATTATATTGGTCATTCTCTGTTGAAGCCTTTCTCTCCCTCTCTGGCCTTATACTGTTTACATGAATTACTGCTAAAAGGTGTCTGGCCTCCTTCCTTTTTTTATTCTCAAAGTTATAAGCCTAGTTCAGGACTTATGTGGACCTGGTGCCTTTCCAGTTTATTTCCTTGCAGCCCTACTGTGACACTGATATTTAACTATTAGTACTGAAACATTACTTCCACTCCCTTTCCAAAGTCCGTCAGGGGCTTTGGGCTTCCAGTTGCCTAGACCTGTGTAGATTTTAAAGGTTCAGGTTGTGGAAAGCAGCTGAAAGTAGGTTCTTTTTGGATAACTTTGAAATATTTCAAAGAATTGGGGTTGAGGAAACGGAGAGGGAGGTGGGAGGCTATAGATTATACCAAGTCACAATTATAGCAAGACTAGTTAAAAATGTGGTGAAGTGCCCTGGTACAGGAAGATCCCACATGCCGCAGAGCGGCTAGGCCCATAAGCCATGGCCGCTGAGCCAGCATGTCCGGAGCCTGTGCTCCGCAACGAGAGAGGCCACGACAGTGAGAGGCCCACATAACGCAAAAAAAAAAAACAAAACAAAACAAACAAACAAAAACAAAACAAAACAAAAAAAAAAATGTGGTGAAAACACTCATTATAAAATTATAAAATCAGTAATGTGCAACGCTTTAAGAACTCAAAACATACAGATTGCTATTGGGAAAATAGTCTGTTATTGTTTGTTGTCCATTTCTTGGTTGAATTCATTTATTTCAGCATCAGAACATTGGAGCTAAATGCTCGCTTTTTTTACCCACATCCTTCAGTCTGACGGTCTGGCTCTCACGGTCTGGCCTGTTTCCCACTGTCCCTCAGATCTGTGCTGTCCGGTATGGTTACCAGTAGCCACATATGGCAGTGAAGCACTTGAAAAATGGCTAGTTCTGTGAGTGTGAAATGCATGCCAGATTTTGAGATTTGGTATGAAAAAAATGAACTATTTCAATATCTAAAATATCGATTACATGTTGAAATGATATGTCGCATATCCCATGTTAAATAAAATCCATTACTGCAATTAATTTTGCCTGTTTCTACTTTTAACAAATGTGGCTGCTAGAAGATTTAAAATTATGTATATGGGTTGCATGCGTGGCTGCCTGATTTGTTCACTGAACAGCCACCTTAGGCTTAGTCTCGTGGTGGGGGAGTGCTCCCAAGTGGCAGTAAGTCATCATACAGTGGATTATCTTTTTGTTTCTATAGTTTCAGCCAATAGATGTGTCTGATTTCTTTTAGTGCTTATGATAGCTCTCACAGAAGCATTATTATTCTTTTGAAGAATACCTTAATCTCAAAACCATTTCCAGGTAATTGAGTTAACTGTTACTGAATAAATATATTCAATTAATCATTTGAACTTAAAATAATGAAATGCCATCTGTTAAGCACATAATCCATTAAAAAAAAAAAAAAAGTTGAGGATTTCCCTGGTGGCGCAGTGGTTGAGAGTCCGCCTGCCGATGTAGGGGACACGGGTTCATGCCCCGGTCCGGGAAGATCCCACATGCCGAGGAGCGGCTGGGCCCGTGAGCCATGGCCGCTCAGCCTGCGCGTCCGGAACCTGTGCACCGCAACGGGAGAGGCCGCAACAGTGAGAGGCCTGCGTACCACAAAAAACAAAACAAAACAAACAGACAAAAAACAAAACAAAACAAAGAAGTTGAGCTAAGTATAATCAGCTGAATTTTCCCCAGCTTGGTCTGCTACTTACTCACTGATTTTTACAATATACTGTTTTTTCAGAGATTTAAGAAATATTTCTGGGAGAAACTTGAAATTGAAAAAATCAAGCTCATAATTTTTTTTCTCCTGTGATTAAAAAAAAGGCCACAGTAGTTTGCTTCTAAGTGTGGAACACTTTGGACC